GTACACATACCCCTTGCCATCGTGTGTGTCTTCGTAGATGGGATGTATTGTTTTCACGGCGGTGTTCCAGTAGAATTAATTTCAGAAGTAATTTGTCAAAATATCCACAGAATATCCAGGTTTCAGAACCGAGACCCGACTAGCCTCATGGGGAGGAGAAATGCCAGGTAGTGGGCTACTATCTCCCATTTGCAGGAAAATGCTTTACATTGACCAATATTCTTATGCGGAAATGACAACATCCCATGGTAAAAAGTTTCTAAAAGTTGATTTTTCATGATATGGAACCTTCACAAAAACTGTTCAATCAACGAACCTCTCCGTCCTCCATTGTGCGTATTAGGTTATGTTAGTTATAGCGCCCCCCCTTCAGTTCTGGAATGTAAGTTTTGCATTTTCCAAATATGGTATGAGTCTGACAACTGGCCCGACACCGCCCCTTTTCTGCGTGCTGCAGCCAGTTCCTTCTTGACTCTCCTTTTTACACCACTGTAAGTACCATTACTCTATCTGCAAAACTCAAGAAACTCAGCAGCAAAACAAACAATGCCAATTTCATGAAGTCAAAAGTGTAAATTCAGTCTTACTTTTGCTGGTTTTTGGTCAAAATAATCCATGTTATAGTAAAAAAAACTTGGTTTGTGTAATCCAATGTCTGAATATTACAATGAAGTGACTCCTAGCTGTTTTGTGCTTTTTAACCTGCTGGAGTGTGTTTACAAGTCTCTGATGCCACATTCTATCATTATTTTGGTTCTCTATAATAAAAACTCCACGAGGTGCTCTCAGTTGCTCTAAAACAAAGAAAGACCAATGAGCTAAAAATATGAATTAAAAAAGAATGGTGAACTGTGGAGAGCTTCCAGTTCTGGGTGAACATTCTGAGCTGAGACACCACCCGGTTTCAGTCGCAATACCTTTGCGACCAAAGGCTCTCCTATTCTTTGTATTGGGGGGGGGGGGGGGGGGGGGAATCCAGCGCGCATGCGCCAGTTAATATAGGTCTATGGTAGAGATTGCTGCGCCCGAAAGGAACAGGAAATGCACCACAAGATGATTTGGTTGTGGTAATATTGTAAAATAACATTTACACTTGCATATTAAACACAGCATTTATAGTCTGTATAATGTATAGATCATTTATTTAGAACAGTATTAGTGGTTTTTCCAGTGATCCACACCTTTAAAAGAGCCAAGACCAAAAGCAATAGACTTTGTTGTACAAACAAAAAAGTGTTTTTACGTCCTTAGCTGAATGCTTAAACCTGAAGTATGCACTAAAGTGTCAGGTGTGCTCCCATTTAATGAAGATGCCTTTTATAAAATGAAAAAAAAATGTCATGCCTATCCATCAGTTCAAGATTTATTCTATGATTCACCAAAGATCTAAAGAAAACAGTTAAGAGTTCAAGAAAATGAAACGTTGCTTAAACCACAAAATCTTAACTTGACTTACAGGAAACAAAAATATAGAAACTGATGAGTTGCAGAAATGACAGCAACCAGCATCCATCATCCATTTTCTTACCCACTTGTCCACAGAGTTGGGGGGGCGGCTGGTGCTTATCTCCAGCAGTCTTCAGGCAAGCCAGCTCCAGACATTTTTCTTCAGTCTTTTATCCATTACCTCTCTCAAAATAGGAGTCTTGGTTCAGTTAGCCATGACATTGTGTCGTTTCAGAGTTCAAAGTGAAAGTTATTTATTTATATCTGGAAATTGCTAAATGGTGCTCCACAGCTTTAAATATGGTGCAGTAACAGCTTAGTAAGTCTGCTTACCGTAAATCCTCTAATACAGGCCAGTATTCAATTAGAGGCCGGGTCTCCAATTTTGGCCGGTGTCGGAGTCAGCGGAGGTGAATATTGGCCGGTCTCTTATTGTGGCCGGGTGGAATGTAGTAACAAGTAAATACGAGCATCTCAGCGGCAGGGTTATAGTCCCCAAATCAACCAGCAGGAGGCAGTAGGGGTTCACACAGACCTTTATTAGACTTTTTCTTCAACGCTTTGTAATGCTACAGACACGATCCTCTATCATGCTCCTACCACACAGAGTCACGGTGTCAGTTAACCATGCTAATTCAACCCACTCCACAGAACACACATCACCTTCCCTGTGGCTTACATAACACTCACACAACACGCAAATCAGCACATAGGAACTAGCAGAACGATAGGAAACACATATAACACAATACCCAGAATGCACCTGGCTTACAACACCAGCCAGGTCATTACACTATCAAGTTCAAAGAGAACATGCTGATTATGCTGCAGAGCACTCTGGGGAGCAGTAGCAGGGGTTGTATGAACTAGTCGACTTCACTATAGTGACTTTTTATGCCTGTCGTCGACTAGTCGCTGTCACGTGATAATGACCGGCAAGATGCAGCCCTCGGAAAAGACAGCAGCCTGCTGTCAGCAGGTGACAAGCTCCTGCGCTCGTGGGGGGGGTGGGGGTGGGGGGGGGGGGGGGGGGCAACGCGCTGTGCCAGACCGTAGGTACTGACACGCGATCGTTCATGTCGGTTCATTTCCTTTAATGTTTTCTGTCTTTTATTTGCGCCTGATGTGTTTCGCTGCTGTGGAGCGGGGCACATCACCTTGTCCTCCGACTCACAGATCACTGATGCGGCCGCCAAGCAGGGAGAGCTCCGCTGTTTTCGCGGTCAGTAGATCTGCCTCCTGAGCACGGCCACAATCAGGTGTCGCCACCTCAAAAACTAATTTAACACACGATCGTTCATGTCAGTTCATTTCCTTTAATGTTTTCTGTCTTTTATTTGCGCCTGATGCGTTTTGCTGCATGCTGTGGAGCGGGGCGCTGCGCGCATCACCTTGTCCTCCGACGCAAATTCCACTACCTCCGCTCCGACACAAACGCCGGAGCAAAATCGGTCCCGTTGTCAATCAGAGCAATTCTACTACTGCGGCCGTGCTCCGGCAGTGCGGCGCCCTCTGTTCCGGCGTCCGGCAAAAATAGAATCGATCCTATTTTCGCCTGAGCACCTCCGCAGTCAATGGACAGAAATCACAACTGCCCAACAGGAAAAGGAGCAAGCACAACTTCCTTTTTTCACAATAAATCGATAAACAAAAGGCGTTTTTTGTTTCATACGCACAGGTTTAACAACTTTTAACAACTATCAATGGCGGCTGAACTTTAAATGCACAAAAATAAGCCATAAATACAGTTTCTACTGTCAAAGTAGTCGCCCTTTGTTGATCCAAACACTGCTGATCTCTCAACACAAATGATGGGCAGATTAAACAGTTCATTTCGATGCTTCTCCCACACAACGGGTGTTTGGATCTAACTTCCGCGTTTATTGCTCGGACTGTATGATACGGCCGCCAAGCAGGGAGCGCTCCACTGTTTTTGCGGTCGGTAGCTCTTTTTGAGCTGCAGTTCAAAGGTAACTCATAAGGTCAATATATATGAACCCAGGTAGCAGTTTTTCTTTAGGATTGAGAGGAGATGCAAGAAGATAATAAACAGGCAGGACAGAAAAATAGTCAAATAAAAACAAGTTAGTTTTTGTACCTGGTGGTTGCAACAAACAAACACCATTGAAGGTAATCAGAAGTGAGGAACAGAAATAATTATTTTAATGTTTAGAGCAGCAGGAACTCCGAGAGGCTGCAGGCGCATCAGTGAGTTTGCAGCCGCTGCGCAGGGGGAGGGGGGAGAGGGCTGAAGCAGAAACTACCGTTGTTAAAAGAAATGTGTTTAACTTTGAAAATGTGGGCGCAATTTTAATTGTCAAAAACTCCAGTGAACCATTAGTTCATTTTGCTCAAATAGAAATAGAGGCCTGCCTCTAATACTGGCCCTCCTTCCAATAAAGGCCTGGAGCTTGATGAGCTTGAGTCAAATACAGGCCCGGGCCTGTATTAGAGGATTTACGGTTACTTTCTCTTAGGCTGCATGGTGAAGCAGTTGGTAGCATTGCTGCCTTGCAGTGAGAAAGTTGCAGATTCAAATCTCACTCGCTCTTTGCAAGTTTTCTTCAGGAATGCCTGAGTTTTTCCCTACAAACAAAAAAATGCACGCATTTCAGGTTTTGTGGAGAATTTAAACTGTCCCCAGGTGTGAGAGGGTGTGTGACTGATTGTTCCTGTGATGGACTCGCAATCTGTCCAGGGTGTCTCCAGTCTCTCACTAAGACTGCTGAAGTTGGGCATCAGCTCACGCTGACCCTCGCAAGATTTCAGATCATGAACGAGTGAGTGAGTTATTTCGACATTAAAATCACCAGTTTGTCAAACAAGTATTCACTTTTAAACAAAAATGTCCCTTTTCAGATTCATTAAACATCTGTTGATATTTATCTTTTCATTGAATGCTACACTTACATTCAACCTGCTTTGCATGGGGAAACATTATAGTAGCCTACAGAAGAGATTAAATTCATCATTCTAGAAATGCAAGTGGCCGCACACAGTCCCCAGCTTGCGCTTTGGACATGCATGCTCCAGAGAATTAATCTTATTCAAACAATGACAGGAAGCTCAGCCCTGATGCTTCCTGCTCTACCTGTTTTAGGTTCTGTGATGCGAAATAAAACTGTCAGCGTCTAGTGGTTGTAAGACTCACCAAGCCTCTGAAGTCACTAGTCACTACCGATCTATATCTGGAATAATCAACGGGACGTTCACCATCTTCTCATCACATCATTACCATCATGTTACGGTAATTACTACAAATCATTACTTTTATTATGCCCTTTGATGTGACTTTTATCTACAAGCAAGATAATAAATGTGTTCTAATTATTTTTATGTCAGTTACATTTATTTTAATACCCTTAATAACAGTTCAACTGTTAAACAGATGTTTGTATAAAAAATTAACCAAGAGAAATTAGTTGAGATTAGAAAAAAAAATGCTATTGTTGCTAGAAAAAGTTTTCTTCCAACCAGAAGGACTTTTTTGTGGCATTTGATCCTGATTTTGGGGGCAGCTTTAAGGAACTAACGTCACAGAGTCCCCCGCCTGGGGGACCCTCGGGTTTTAGGGGTTAAGAAAGCAGTACACTTTTCAAATGATCTTAGCATTCACAAAAGGAAGCATAATTGTGGAAATAAAAATAAAATAATTAAAGATGCATTCAATTATAAGAAGGATTTGAAGGGCTTGCAATGTCAAATAAAATTATGGTGGAGTTATTTGCATAAATAAAAATAAATCAAGATGCTTGTTCTACTTTTACTAAAACTTACCTAGTGAATCTAGTTGTGATGGTAGGTGAACTTGTCAGTTTTTACATAAAGATGTATTACTAAAAAGATTTATCTAGTTGGCCCTCACTATTCATTATTTTATTTTTAATTTTAGAACATAGCAATAAGGCAACATTGTTTTTCACTAAATGCACCAAGATATTCAGCCAGCAGCTGGAAACAAGAGCATCATTGCTCCACGTATGTACTGAGATGCCTTCAAATGAAAGCAACTGCAAAAAAGTTTTTTTTTAATAATAATTAGGCACTATTCATTTTCTTTCTTCTTTTTTCAGAAAATTTAAGGTGATAAACATCGTCACCACTGTTTCCCTGTTGGGAATCCTCATGGTTGTTTATTTAAAAGAACCTAAAAGTGCTTTTCCTGCTGATTATTTCAACACCAACCAGGAATTGTATGCAAATAAATTAAAGGACGAAAATGCCACCACCCAAGCACAAGAACTCCTCCAGCCAAAATGTGAGCAAAACATGGAAGCAGAGAAACTCTGGAAATTTAGCTCTCTTCCTGAACAGATTCGGGATTTTCTTTACTATCGTCACTGTCACCGATTTCCCATTATCCTGGACCTCCCTCACAAATGTGGACGACCAAATAAGCCCAAAGACATCTTTCTACTGCTAGTTATTAAAAGTCCCCCCAACAACTTTGAGCACAGAGAGGTGCTGCGCAAGACCTGGGCTAAGGAGAGGTCACATAATGGGAAGAGGATTCAAACGATCTTCATTTCAGGAACAGATGGTTATGGATATGACACAGAAAGGCTGAACAAACTCGTTGCACTGGAGCACAAACAACATGGAGACATTCTCCAGTGGGACTTCAGAGAATCATTTTTCAACCTGACTCTAAAGCAGATCCTTTTCCTGGAGTGGATGAACAGACGCTGTCCACATGCTCGTTTCCTGCTAAACGGTGATGATGATGTCTTCGCCCACACGGACAACATGGTGGAGTATCTTCAGAGCCTCGAGGACAACAATGGAACCAAGCATCTCTTTACTGGGCAAGTAATTGAAAACGCTGGCCCTATCAGATGGCCGCAAAGCAAGTACTTTGTTCCACTTCAGGTGTATGATGGAAATTCATATCCTGCTTACTGCGGTGGTGCGGGTTACCTCATGTCTGGCTACACTGCTTCAGTCATTTATGAGAAGTCAAAGTCCGTTGAAATACTTCCGATTGACGATGTCTACATGGGGATGTGTTTGGATGCAGCAAAACTTAAACCCACCACTCATATGGGTGTGAGTACACTTGGATGGTACATTCCCTCTAGAACGGTTGACAAATATCACCCTTGTTTCTTGAAAGAAGTACTTGTGATACACAAATTCTCTCCAGCTAGTTTATATATTTTGTGGCATGAAGTACACAACCCCAAAATCAAGTGTGGTGTTCAATGGTTAAAATCACTTTTTTAAAAGCCTTTTTGTTAATTTTTAAATGCTAATGCATAAAATTATTATTTTTTTAATCACAATAACAGAGGGATGTTACTAACCATAACATGTAATCTGGTAATTTGATCATTTGGAAAAAGACTGAGAAAGATTTTTTGAGCCATTTTCTAGAACGAACTTCCATGCCTCCTTTGCCACACAGTCTCAACAAGAAGACGTTTTTATGCTTTCCGTTGCAAGCTGGCACGATTTTCCGGAGTCACGGTGAAATGTTTTGTGAAGTTTACTTTGGCAGGTAGTGTGACACATGGCTCCTCTCCTCTTCTTTATGAGGCACGAAATTAATGGTTTAAATAAGCAGTTTACTAACCAAAACATGAAGACTTTTAAAACAAAGACAGACTTTTAAAACTGAGGGAAAAAGCTTTATTTGCAAAGTTAATCATTCAGATAAAGCCATCATTTTAATCTCTGTTGGCCAGCAATCTGGTTAGTTTGTATAAAACATAAAGTGGTGGACCATAGAAGTGAATATCAAACTTGCACTTTTACATTAGCCATTAAAAGTTGTGTCATCAGTCGTGTCATAAATGTGTGACAACAAAAATAAGTAAGAAGCCTGTTCTTTCCATGGTTGGGTCATGCCAAAAACTTTAAAAAATGGGTCCCAGTGCCTCCCCGCTTGACACTCAGCTTTAAGGGGTTGGATTGGGGGATTAAACCTCCAAATGGTTCCCGAGTGCAGCCACTGCTGCAGCTCACCGCTCCCCAAGGGGATGGTCAAATGCAGAGATGTCATTTCACCAGTATGTAATAATGACTAATGGGACTTAAACTTTGATTTAACTTTATTATTTTTAATAATTTTTATTTATTTCATTGCTTTTTAGAAACATGTACACTGAACGTAGAACATATTAACAAGGACTGTGTTTTGAAAAATTTTACATTGTTGAAGTTATTACAATAAAAGTTCATCAGATTTGAGTGTATGTCTCCATCACTCAAAACCACAACTTTAACCTCATGAGATTGCTTTAGTTTGCATTTTGTGTTGGGAAAATGTGACATGAAAATATGTCTTTATTTTGTTGTTAATATTATTACTATTATTTATTTTCAATTAAAAGCAAATATCTGAATATGTACAGGTCTGGGTTGAGCAGAATAAAAGATTCGAGTGAGGGAACCCCAGATTAGGAGTATTCAGGGTCTGAGGAGGTTATGGTGAAGTCTGAAAAAAAGTGTTTTTTAAACACTGATGAAGTCTATCCGATGTAGAGATTTTAAATCTGTGCAAATATGAGGCAAGGTAGCTTTACATTTTATATGAAATTTAATGTGTCAGGATCAACAGTCAAGTTGCTTCAATTTTAGTGGAAAAATAAACAATCCACGTTGCTAAAGTCGGTTGGTTAGAGAAAAGCTGCAGCAGAAACACGGAACAAGAACAGAACGATCAGTCTGATCAATATTTTATACTAAATGTTTATTTTCTATCCAGCGAGAGTTTGAGAGTAACGTAATTTCATTTCTCTGTATGTCCTGTACATGTGGCAGAAGTGACAATTAAACTGACTTTGACTTTGACTTTGATATTCGTGAAAATCTTTTATTTATCTGTACAATCATTAATCACAGTAAAAGTAATTATTTAAAAAGCCATATTACTCACTGTAATTAATTATTCTTTGGTTTGACATCTGCTGCATTTTTTTTGTCTTTCATAATTTCCTCCCATTTTAATTTATGTAATGCAAAAACTGGAAAACTGCAACTTCAGGTGTTTTTTTCTCTTTCTTTCCGCATTTCATATTCTGTTTACATCAGCCACTATTTGCTTCAGCAGTTATTTTATATGAAACCTTACATTTTACTTTTGCTTTAAACAACTTGTAGAGAAATCTACGGAGCTCGTCTGGTGATTTTGAGGAAAAAAATTAACTTGTGGCCAAGAGATACTTAATGCGTTCCCACAAGACACTTAATGCGTGGGAACGAGACACTTAATGCGTTCCCACGAGATACTTAATGCTTGGGAACGAGATACTTAATGCGTGGGAACGAGACACTTAATGCGTTCCCACGAGATACTTAATGCTTGGGAACGAGATACTTAATGCGTGGGAACGAGATACTTAATGCATTCTTACGAGATACCTATTTATAAATGCGAGGCGTGTGTTCCAGAGATCGGTTTTCCTGAAAGAATCTCCTCTTAAAAGCCCCCAAATCATTAACTTTTAGCTAACATTAGGTTTTATCATAAAGTCACTGATAAATAATAACTAGTTGTTTTATCTAGTTAATCAAATCATCCAATAATGCAGGTGATGCAACTTTTTCTTTCAGCATCATGGACAGACGGACATTGTAAATAAAGTTTATGTCCTCTCTTTTGTTGCATTGTAGCAACTAGCGTACTTTCATATATTTTGTACTTATTGGTGTACTAATTGTGACATGTGCAACTGCACATCTGTGAACCAATAAACTGCACAACGGTCAGAGGTGCACCTGTCGGAGAACAACAGTTGTGACAAAACACAGACTCGTTCCAGCAGGGATTAGCCGACAGGCGGACTGATATTTGTTTGATATGAAAAATAGTTCCTGTCTAAAACCCTTTTGGGTTAAATTAAATGTTCCCGTAAATGACAGTGATCTCTCCCTGTGCGCACTATTGTTCCAGCAGACTTGATTCAGTGGTTGAACCAACTGCAGCAGCTCAGGCTCGCAGAAGCTGGTTAATCACCTGCTGATTGAAATCAGGTGTGTTGGAGTAGGCCAGGTTAAAACTAGAACATGCTTTACTGTTCATTCAGTTCATCCATTTAAAATCCTTATCCTCAAAGCCCTCCCCAGTCAAGTCAGGTGTGCCCCAGGGCTCTGTCCTGGGGCCCCTCTTCTTCATAGTCTATCTCCCCTATCGGCAACATCTTCCGCAAATTCATTATCCAGTTTCACTGCTTCGCGGATGACACCCAGCTCTACATTTCCAGTAAACCCAACTCAACTTGCCCACCATCCTCCCTTACCTTCTGCCTCTCAGAAATCAAATCATGGTTCACCTCTAATTTCCTCAAACTCAACGGCAATAAAACTGAACTTCTTCTAGTTGGTACTAAATCCACCATCTCCAAATCTAACAGCTTTTCCTTAACTATTGACAGCGCCATAGTCTCCCAGCTCACTTTCCTTTCAAGCTCACATTAATAGCATAATTTGGTCAGCATACTTCCATCTTCGTTCCATAAACCGCCCCTCCCTTACCCCTCACACTGCCGCCATTCTCATCCACAGCCTCGTCATCTCCCGTATCGACTACTGCAATTCACTTCTTTATGGTCTCCCCAACAAACCTCTTCATAAACTGCAACTGGTCCAGAATTCAGCAGCCCGTATTATCACCAGAACCCCTTCCTTTCACCACATCAACCCCGTTGTCCAAGAGCTTCACTGGCTCCCAGTTAAATTCAGGTCCATCTTCAAAATTTTCCTCCATACCTTCAAAGCCATCCATAACCTCTCTCCTCCATATATCTCAGACCTTATAAGTATTCACACCCCATCCCGTTCTCTCAGATCTTCTTCTTCCATCCATCTTGCGGTTCCTTCTGCCCGTCTCGCTACCATGGGGAGCAGAGCTTTCAGCCGCTCTGCTCCTTGACTCTGGAACTCACTTCCCCCAGACATCAGGAACATCGACAGTTTTACCCTGTTCAAAACCAAACTCAAAACACACATGTTTAAATCTGCCTATGACCTCTGATTTTATTGAACGGTTTCTTTCTTTGTTTTTTTCTTCTTTGTGTTTTATTGTGGTTTTATTGCTGTTTTAATGTATTTTCTGAATGTATTTTCTGTCAAGTGACCTTGGGTGTTCTGAAAGGCTCTTTTAAATAAAATGTATTATTATTATTATTATTATAGTTATAGTGTTTTTCGGAGTTTGGTTCTTTCGCTCAGGAGCTCCTCAGAGAGTGAGACGCTACTTTACCGTCATTGAACTGGCAAAAGACTGGACCCACAGGTGGGGTGAGCAGGGTGAGAGAGCAGTGATATTGTTGGTCTTGTTAGGGCTACTCAATTAGTAGAATTTTAATCTCAATTAAGATCTGAGTTTTGCACGATTATAAAAGCAAAGCAAGCTGAGTATTTGCTCCTCCCTCTTGCGCTGCTTCGAGTTGCAAATCAAGCGCTCCTCCCACAGTTTTGCTAACTTAGCAACTTTGTCGCTATTTCTACCTGCTTTTCAGACCACCTTTTGACTTTTTAAATCCTAAAAGTACCTAGCGAACAACCTAGAAACATTTCTAGTAACCCTTAGCTACTTTCTGGATAACCACCATTGACATTTCCTCAGCCTCAGTTCCGTGGGTGACACACAATGTACCTGCACGCTCCTGAGCCACTAAAAAACGGGAAAATGCGCATTGCTGTGTACTTCACACACACACACACACACACACACACACACACACACACACACACACACACACACACACACACACACACACACCTTGTTAACTTTGTGTGGGGAAAAATGCCAAGAATGTTAGAAAAAAATGTTTGATCACAAAATAAAAAAATTAACGTATTTCATAATCTGCTCAGTTACTGGGATTTTCACCCACAACCATTTCTAGGGTTTACAAAGAATGGTGTGAAAAAGGAAAAACATCCAGTATGTGGCAATCCTGTGGGCGAAAATGCCTTGTTGATGCTAGAGGTCAGAGGAGAATGGGCCGACTGATTCAAGCTGATAGAAGAGCAACTTTGAGTGAAATAACCACTCGTTACAACCGAGGAATGCAGCAAAGCATTTGTAAAGCCACAACACACACAACCTTGAGGCGGACGGGCTACGACAGCAGAAGACCCCACCGGGTACCACTCATCTCCACTACAAATAGGAAAGAGAGGCTACAATTTGCACCAGCTCACCAAAATTGGACAGTTGAAGACAGGAAAAATGTTGCCTGGTCTGTGGGAGAAAATATTCAGGCTTATTTAATCTTCATTTCCATCACCTGTGGGTTTTTTGCATTCACTTAATATTAATTATAAAAGTATAAATAACAGGTCACTACAGTCTGGGCATAGAAAGTGTTTCTAGGAACAAAAGCTTGTTCAGCAGCCCACCTGTTCCTTCCACACTGACAGGAGAAATCCTCTCATCAGCAGCAGGTGATCAACAGAGGCGTGACTGAACACAGGACCAAAAAAACACAAAACAGACTGGCCCACTGGGAATTTCCCCAGTCAGGTCCTGGTTTCGCCTGCCGTTCCCGTTAGACAGGAGCTGCTCATCACGTTAACTCTCACCAGAACTGGGCTCCATTGGCGCTTATTAGTGCAACTGGATTCTACATAGTTTTCATAAATAAACACACAACTTAAATCTGTGGCTCATGTAAAACCATCCACTCTAACTGTGTGGCAGTGGCGGAGCGCTGTTTTGTGTGTGTGTGTGTGTGTGTGTGTGTGTGTGTGTGTGCGTGCGTGCGTGCGTGCGTGCGTGCGTGCGTGCGCGCGTGTGGGTGGGAAAGCAGTTGCGCCGTCTGATGGTTTTGTTTGTAGGGTGGGGCGGTTGCTCTATGTGACTGGCCAATCATTGAGTGTGAATACGTCAGTTACCCAATGAGGATTTTCCTTCAGCACGAACACAGATATTCACACAGAATTTCAAAGGTTTTACTCGTTTTATGCTCGTACGCGTAAAAAACTGCCTCATCCGTACTGGATACTCGTCTGAAATGA